TTAGCAGTGATTTCTAGTAAAATAGTGATACTAACTAACATTCACTCAATCTTGTGGACGCTTCACCTTCAACTACGATGACAACTGCATTTTCTGCTCTAGATGAGGGAGCTCCCAATGTCCAGTCAGGTTAAATCTGACTCTATCCCTTTTAGAATCCATTTTGGATCAGAAGGGAATTTTCATCTGACCAAAATTTGCAAATCCTGCCTATGCTCTTCAGTTCAGTGTGTCGGCTGCTTCCTAAATGTTCACTTTATCTGTGCCACTGCCACACTTCATACCGGGTCAGAAGTTTGGTCAGCACATGAACACTTTGCTGGGTGGGCCACGGTCACTGCTGTTCTCCCACTGCTCCCAGCCTGCAGCACAGACAGGAAGAACTACACGGCCCAGATTTTCATTGCAGGTGTCAGGGATTTTAGCTCACCTGAACTAGGGTCAATGATTCTATTCCCAAACCCAGCCAGTAACTCTCCCTTACTGCCCTGTAAACGCTGTGCCAGCATTTCAGAATTAAAGGAGACACATGGTCGGCCCAGGGCTTCATTGGCAGCACTGCCAGGTGAGGGGAAAGCGGCGAGATCCTGAGCTCCGGGGCTGCTAGGGACTGGGAAGGCTGCAGAGGCAGCAAAGGAACAACTCACAGTGCCACCCAGTGTGGCGGACACATGACATGACACTGCCAGGCTGCGTTAGGCATTGCATGCAACCTGCAGAGCCCTGGCTCCAGCTAGGAGTCTAGGGCCTGGCTGGCTCCCTGCCCCTGCGCTCTGCCTCTCCAACCCCTGGAGCTGGGGGAGAACAAGGGGGAGGGAGAGGAGATAACTCCCAGCACGGCACCTCTTCAACCCCTGGAGCTGGGGAAGAGAGAGGGGGGAGAGGACACAGAGGCTCCGTCTCCCTGCCCCTCTGTCCCCTGGAACTATGGGGGAAACAGGGCATAGGAACAGACCAGGTTCAGCATGCTGTCTAGCTGCACTAGTGTGGACCCCTACGGGTAAATAAGGAGACACAGGGATCAGCACTGAGGACCTGATACAAAAACCCACTGAAGACAGTGCAAAAACTCCTACTGACTTCAGTCCAAAGTGAGGGAGGAGCCCAGGGCCTGAGGGGTTGAAGTTGCCGTTTCACCCAGGGTCCCTTTCTTTTTTGTGCACGTGTACCAATCACACGGATTTTCACCTGACCCAGATTTGCATATTTCCACCCAAGTGATATTTCCTGCTGCCCTGAGCAGTTATAAAACGTTCGTTGTCTGCTGTTATGGCTTGCTCATCAGCATCGGGCCAGTCAGACGTAGCAAGATGATCTCACAGGCTCCACTCATCTGGCTGTTGGTGCTCTGGATCCGGGGTAAGGATCAAACCAAGAGGCAACTGCCTGAATTAAAATGGTTATTTTTAATTATTTGCACTGCAGTAGCACCTAAAGGACCCAATCAGGACACCTTTGTTCTAGGCCCTTTACAGACACCTAATGAAAAGATGGTCTCTGTCCTAATGAGGTAACAGACTGAGCTAATAAAGAAAATGTTTAAATCCAGAGAGGTTGCATATAAAACCGTAAGCTTTAACCAGAGAGCGTCACTAACTTCAGAGAATATTTGTCCTATTTCAACAGCCATTAAAAGAAAAAGAATATATAAGAATAACAGAAAAAAGGATTTAGAATTAAAGAGTTTAAACTTTAATACTATGGCCAGGTGATGAGCTACAGTAATTATATAAAGAGGCCAATGGGAATCTTTAACCCGGCACAGTATTGTCCAGTTTGACGGAGTGAATGCATCTCTCATGTATTAAATTACATTTTATTCATTAATTCAGATGCCAGCGGGGACACAGTGCTGACTCAGACTCCAGAATCCCTGGCAGTGTTTCCAGGAGAGAGCGTCACCATCAAATGCAAAGCCAGTAAAAGCCTTTCTTACCAAGGCAAGGAATACTTAGCCTGGTACCAGGAGAAAATGGGACAAGCTCCGAAATGCCTTATCTATCAGGCTTCTACCCGCACCTCTGGGATCCCAGACCGGTTCAGCGGCAGTGAGTCTGGAACAGACTTTATTCTCACAATCAGCAGACTTGAAGCTGAAGATGCTGGAAATTATTACTGCCTGCAAAGCTATGATGCCCCTCTCACAGTGATACAGACCAGTACAAAAACCTTCCTGTGCTGTTCAGTTCAGGGTAACAGCTGCTTCCTGCAGTCACCTTCTTAGTGACGCTGCTAAAATTTATTTAAGGGCAAAGTTGAGCTCAGCCTTTCAGCACCACACGTCCCCTGTCCTCCCAGTACCCCCACGCACATATAAAATCCTGATGAGTTTCCGGCAAGAGAAATGTTCTTCCCTACACCAGGATTTTTACATCAGCTGGAATAATGTGATTTTTTTTTCCTACCTAAAATAATTTCAGTCCCTCCCTCAGCCTCCCAACATGATTCTTACTGGCCGCCTCAAATTCTCTCTGTGTATTTTAGGATCAGAACAGAACGATGGGCTCAGCATACAATGGCAGCGTGGCCGTGTTTGAGTAGCAGAACATTATCCCGGGGGCTAGTGCTGCCAGGGCTGGACAGCCTGTGGAGGTGGCATGTCTGAACCTAGGAGGGAAGGAACAATGCATCACACTCTATAGCCGCACTCAGTCTGACACACACAGCGTGGCAACAATGGCAGCCTGCATGAGAAGTTGTGTCCTCTCCTGCTAGAGGGGAGGGAGCAGCTCTGTGGTGCATTTGGGTGCAGGAGAGGAAGAAAACTCGGCTAGTTCAGAGCCATTCAAATAATGTAACACATTTCTTCCTTTAATTGAGGCCATTTGAATGTTAAGAGGATGGGTCAGAGGAGGGATTGGAAGTCTGAATATTCACAGAAACATGGATTTTAAAGCCACAAGGGACCACAATGTTCATTTAATGATCCAACATCACACAGGTCTGGGAATCTACAACGTATTGATTCCTGCAGTGCAGGGAATAATTTTTTCCCCTCTCTCAATATGGGGATTTTTCCTGTCAAAATCATTATAGGAAAAATTCCCACTTTTCGGGCCCGCTTAATTTTGATTGTCCGTGTTACTGTAGTGCCCTCTCATGGTGATACAGAGAAATACAAAACCCTCCCTGCCCACCTCTGTTTTCTTCATTCAGTGAAGCAGCTGCTTCCCCTGCAGTTTGGCAGGACCAGTACAGCTGCTGCCCTGTCAAAAGGAAACTGGGGTCTGAGAGACATCAGTGTTCTCACACCACAGTCCAGTTCTCGCTCATCATTTCCACCGCTTCCCCACCTCCACCTCAGAGAGATACGGCAGTGGAACGCCGCGTGTTTCAACAAAGCCTAATCGGCTCTCAGTTACACTGGTGTAAATCTACAGAGAGCTCATTATAGTTGTGCTGGCATAAATCTGGAGTAACTAAGGGAAGGAAGCAGCCCGTATAGCTTGCCTACACATGAAAATTAAATCCAGAATAAGGCAGGGTGTGAATTTAAAGGGGATTAACTATTCCTGATGAACTCCATATTTTGACCCTCTTATTCCAGAATAAATTAATTTGGAATAAACAGTGGATTAAGCTAATTGAGAATAAGGCACTCTTCTTCTGGAATAAAAGCATCCACACATGAAGCTAATCAGGAATAGGGATTCCAAAATAACTCCCCTTGCAGCAAGCCCTAAATATCTATTATTAGAATGAACTTGCTATGAAACAATAGAAATAAAAATACAATCCTAGCTCTTTATAAAATGGCTGTAGCACAGACTGCATTATAGCATAAGAACATCAGAACATACCAGCGGCCATACTGGGTCAGACCAAAGGTCCATCTAGCCCAGTATCCTGTCTTCTGACAGTGGCCAATGCAAGGTACTTCAGAGGGAATGAACAGAACAGGTAATCATCAAGTGACCCATCCCCTGTCGCCCATTCCCAGCTTCTGGCAAACAGAGGCTAGGGACGCCGTCCCTGCCCATCCTGGCTAATAGCCATTGATGGACCTATCCTCCATGAACTTATCTAGTTCTTTTTGAACCCCGTTATAGTCTGAAGTTTCATGATTTTGTTTTATTTCATGACATGTCAGTAGTAGTAGTGCATATTATGTGCTACAGTAATAAATAATAATCTCCTATATGCAGGGGCAGCCCTAAAAGAGTGCGGTGCTGGACCAGGGGGATGGCACGTATCCACTGGGATTTTCTCTGCCTAGAGAGAATGTCTGAGGTCACAGTCTTCTTCCAAGTTCTTTTTTTAAATCCCTTCTTCCCCACCACACCTTCACAAAGAGTTTATTTAAATGACTCAGCCACTCCCAGCACTAGAGAGCCCAGTGCATTCCCTCTGCTGTGACTATCTTTCAGCTTCCAAGCTCTCTTTCTCTCGGATACTCCATGCAGCACCATGCACATTGGAGCTTGTCCTGATTTCTGCTGGTTCCAGGCTATAGCATGTATGTCACTGAGTCGATGGACTCTCCTGCAAGGCACTCAGATACTGCATTCATCCCTGCAGTATAAGAACTTTGACACTGTAAATACTGTACATTAGCATTCAAGACCCACAGCCATGCAGCTATTGACTTGCCCACATTTTAGTGCAAGACATTAAAAGCCAGCACCAAAACAATAAGGACGAGCTGAAAAGAAAAGGAGAAACAGGCACGTCTCTTTCTTTGTACAGTGCCTTGCTTAATGGGGCTTTATCCTGATGGGGGCTTTTGGGTACTAACACAGTAGAAGTAATGAATAATAAAACAACAAATCACATCTCAACACAAAGGAAGTGAGCTCCCCCGCCTGCCAGTCTGACCATGGCCCCCCTTCCTCTTCCCTTTTGGTGCACATTGTCACGTCACACACTAATTTTCATCTCTGAACCAAAATTTGTATATTTCACACCCAAGTGACATCCCCATGTCGCTCTGAGCTGTTTAAATGTTCCATGCCACTGGCTATGGCTTGTTGATCAGCATCGGGCCAGTCAGACGTATCAAGATGATCTCGCAGGCTCAGCTCATCTGGCTGTTAGTGCTCTGCATCCAGGGTAAGGCTCAAACCAAGGGGCAATTGGATGAATTTAAAGTAAATCATCCTTAAAAGGAAAAGCTCTAGGATTTTTATCTATCGAACCCTAAATATTCCTAAGCGTTGCAGTAACTTTGAGTGTCTTTGTCACATTTAACGGCAGTTAGAGAGAAAGGGCATATTTAAAAAACAAGGGCTAAAGCAAAACCCACTGAAGTTGAGGGGAATCTTTCCATTCACTTAAATTGCCTTTGGATCAGCCCTAGGAGAGCAACCATAAAAGGAGCTAGAATGAAAGAGCCATCTGAATCTCACCATTCACATTGCTGCCAGGTGAACAGGTGGGAGGGATAGCTCAGGGGTTTGAGCATTGGCCTGCTAAACCCAGAGTTGTGAGTTCAATCCTTGAGGGAGCCACTTAGGGATTTGGGACAAAAATTTCTCTGGGGATTGGTGCTTCTTTGAGCAGGGGGTTGGACTAGATGACCTACTGAGGTCCCTTCCAACCCTGATATTCTATGAACTATGGAATGATACATGGAAATATTTATACAGCACATTATTGTTTCATTTATTAACTGTGTGTGTGTGTAAATATATATATTAACTTACATTTTATTTGTAAATTCATTCAGACTCCCAGGGGCAGATTGTGCTGACCCAGACTCCGGAATCCCTGGCAGTGTCCCCAGGAGACAGAGTCACCATCAACTGCAAAGCCAGTTCCAGCCTTACAGATGAGGATTTTGGCAGTGATACCTTAGCCTGGTACCAGCAGAAAACAGGGCAAGCTCCTAAGCTTCTCATTTATGAGGCTTCCACCCTGCAAACTGGAGTTCCAGCCCGGTTCAGTGGCAGTGGGTCTGGAACCGATTTCACTCTCACGATCAGCAGTGTTGAAGCTGAAGATGCTGGAGATTATTACTGCCAACAAGGCTCTCAAACCCCTCTCACAGTGATACAGACCAATACAAAAACCTCCTGTGCTATTCAGTTCAGTGTCAGAGCTGCTCTGTAAACAGAGTCATCTTCTCAGGGCTACTGCACTTGGGCAAGAGGGAGATGACCTGGAAGACAGTTTTAGTTGCTGGGTTTTGGATGAACTGAAGTGGGTGATGTGAGTGTTGGGAAGGCCAAAAAAGGAAGAAGGAACCAGTAATTAAGAGCAGACACAAGCATTTTTCCCCACTGGACAGGGAGAAAGGGAAGAACCAGAAGTATCTAGACTTGGCCCAAAGATGAAGGGAGAAAGAATGGGGGAGCAGAACATGGTCACCAGTTGTGGGGGCTTCTTTAGCGAGGGGATGACAATACTGTCAATGGCAAAAAAGAATGGGGAATGTGGAGAGAACTTAGGAAGGAAAATAAGGAACTTGGTTCTAATCATGTAATGCTCAAGCTGTTGACAAGAGGGCCACCAAGACATTTTGTAACAGGCTGCACCATAGGACTGGACTGAGGGGGACAGGTCAGGTGAGGATAAGTTTTGAGAGTCATTCAGCATAACATAGCTGGATCTCTGTAAGCAGATGAGGTTGCCAGCTATGAGGCGTACAGGAAGAAGAGGAAGGCACCCAGGACAGGACCATGGGACTCTGCAGAGCGAAGAAGCAGCAACCAAAGAGACCCTAAGGGAGATCAGAGCCCCAAAAGTCAGGTGAGAACAGGAATGCCAAGGAGAAGAGAATGATCAGGATTGAAAGCTGCAGAACATTCATGGAGGATGAGGCTGGAGTAAAGGCCTGGAGACTGGCCAGGAAGAGGCTGTCTGAGACCTTGGTGAGAAGAGTCTCAGGAGAGTGGAAAAGGCAGAACCCATTTTGGAGTGGATACAGGCATGATACAGAGGGAGGGAGTCAAGGCAACAGTTCAAAATGAGGCAAATGGGAGAAGGGGGATGGGTTGGTTGCTGGAGACAGAGGTGGGGTCAAGGATGGGCTTTTTGAGAATGCCAGTGCATTCCTGAACAATGTGGCGAAGGAACCATAGGATTGGGAGAGGCAGAGGAAAGGGAAGGGAAAGGAGTCCAGCACATAGGAGAGGAGTAGATGAGAGAACCCATGGTTGGTGACCTGAGAGAAGCGTTGGAGGAAAGAAGGGTGAAGAGGAGAAGGGAGTAAATTAGGCAGGTGGGGAAGGGTCATATCTGATGGACTCCTTCAGCCAAAAGATTCAGCCTATGAAATCCCAGGCAGAGTGAGAGGAGACATGGAGTGGAAGGCAGCGAGTAGGAGATGGGCCCCTGAAGCCAGGGACCTCAATGAGAGTGAGAAGTAGAGCTGATTAGTAAGGAAGGGGGCAGCTCTGAGGAGGGGGAAGAGGATTAATTCCTGGTGGAGAAAGTCCCCATGGTTCTTGGATTTCCCCGCCAGGGTGTCAGCAAGTGGGAATAAGAAAGGAGGACATGGAGGTTGGGTGCAAGTTATGGATGGGGCTGTGGGGCAGAGACTAAACGAGTCTAGGGTGGGGAGAATGTGGAGAAAAGGGACAGTCACGAGAGGAGAGGACAGGCAGAAAGGGGGAATAGCTGGAGAGAAGGCAGAGATTTTGCTAACTCGGCAGCTTCTATGGAGACTTAAATGCAACTGAAAGCTGCCCACCTGCGGCAGGAGCCAAAAGGAGAAGGGAGACAGCAACACAACCTGCCCTCTCTTGAAAGAAATCCAGACCTGGGACTTTAAGGTAGACAGGTTTTTTACCTCTGTATTTGGCACTGGTGCAACCACTGCTGGGATACTGTGTCCAGTTCTGATGCCCACAATGCCAGATGGATGTTGATAAACTGGAGACGACTCAGAGAACAGCCACGAGAATGATTAAAGGATAGAAAACCTGCCTTATAGTGAGAGACTCAAGGAGCTCGATCTATTTAGCTTTATAAAGAGAAGGTTAAGGGGTGACTCAATTACACATCTTTAAGTACCTACATAGGAACAAATATTTCGTAGTGGGCTGTTCAGTTTGGCAGAGAAAGGTAGAACACAATCCAATGGCTGGAAATTCAGACTAGAAATAAGGCGTACATTCTTAACAGTGAGCGTAATTAAGCATTGGAACAATTTACACCAAGGGACATGGTGGATTCTCCATCACTGACAATTTTGAAATCAAATTGGATGTTTTTCTAAAAGATCTGCTGTAGGAATTATGTTGGGGCAATTCTGTGGCCTGTGTTATACAGGAGGTCAGATGAGATGGTCCCAATGGTCCCTTCTGGCCTTGGAATCTATGAAAGTTAATACAGCAGTAAGATCACTATCCACATTCTGAAATAGGGAAAATAAATCAATTCTATGGGTCCAGTTCTCCCCTTGCAGGATGTGACTAACTCACTGAGAGTCGCCGATGTCTCATGGGGGAGAATTGGTCCTTATGTGTCTAAAAGCTGGGCCTATTCCAGAGGTAAAGGTGAGAACCTTGACATAGTCATAACTGACTGATCTCTCCCTGCTGCTCTGCGCAGATATAAACGTTGCGTGTCACTCTCCATAGTTAACTGATCAGTACTGAGCGGTTCAGACACGTCAGAACGATCTCACAACTTCAGTTCATCTGACTGCTCATGCTCTGAATCCAGAGTAAGAATCAAACCAAACAGGTAATGACTTCAAAAAGCAAAGTACTGCAATAAACAGCTTGACTTTACAATGAGACCAGTTGACTTGACTTATCTCCAGTTTCAAATCTATTCACATTAAGATGACAATATTGATTAAAATGCCAGTAGAAACAGTGAATAGAAACACAGTAGAGGGAGTTTGTTTTTGCCTGATATGTATCTTTATTTGTACTTTCTATGCACATTCAGGTTTCAGAGTAGCAGCAAGTGGGCTGTAGTCCACAAAAGCTTATGCTCTAATAAATTTGTTAGTCTCTAAGGTGCCACAAGTCGTCCTGTTCTTTATGCACATTCAGATTCCAGAATCCCTGCCAGTGTCTCCAGGAGACAGAGTCATTATCAACAGCAAAGCCTGTGCCAGCCTCAGCTTCGATGGAACTAATCGTTTATCCCTCTACCATAAGAAATCGGGACAAGTTCCTGAACTCCTTCTCTATCATGCTTCTACCCGGCAATCTGGGGTCCCAGCCCAGTTCTGTGGCAGTGAGTCTGGAATGGATTTCACTCTCATTAAATGCTGAAGATTATTATTGCCAGCAAGCTGCTCGCTCCCCTCTCTCAGTGATACAGACCAACATAAGAACCTCTCTGTCCTGTTCAGTTCAAGATAACAGCTGCTTCCTAAACACCGTCACCCTCTCAGTGCAACCGCTACTCTGGCCCCGGGGATCCAGTGTTGAACTGCCTTTCGGTGCTTCATTGCCTGGGCCAGTGCTTCATTCCCCTGTGCGCCTCCTACTTCCCTTATTTGCAAAGCAAATAAAATTAAGGAGCTGGTCAAGCCAAGTTTGCTGCTAGAGAAGTTTCCTTCCTTACCAAAAGGCCTGGACTTCATTTGAGCTGCAGGATCTTTTTTTTCCTGGCTTAAATGGTTTTACACCTTGATCCCCAAAACAGATTTCTTCCTGGCTGCCCAGAAGACTGTCAGAGCATTGCAGGGTTCAGAGAGAAGCGGTCAGCCCAAAGCCTGGGAGGATTGCGGAGGCCTGAATCTTCAATTCCAGAAGGAAAGGAACCTCTGCAGCGACCCACACTGGACGATACGTGGCACAGCATCAATGGGCTGCCTAAGGAACTGCATCCCACCAATCTTCCTCTGCTAGCAGGAAGCTGGATGAAATCAGTGTCCTCTGAGGGGAGAGACCAGGTCAGGTCCCCAGAGATGGGTTCAGCGGGAAAACGGTAGACATAACATTTTTCGATTGAGTCACACCCACGGGGCAGCTCAGAGACATGGTGCAAGGATCTGGTCCTCTTTCTACTGGGACTATGAGCAAAATACAATAGGAACCTGCTAAATGCCACATGTGGCTGCATAAAGGAACAGGGTCTTGGAGTTTCACCAACTCTGACTTTCTAGTATCCTTCATGGATGGGGCTACACACTAGAGCAGAGGACTGCTCAAGAGCTGTTTGACAAGGGCAGGTTTTATTTCTTTCCCTGGGTCTGACTCCAATTTCCCTTTAACAGACTAATTAACCTGGTGGAGCACAAACACATGGTGGTTAAACATCTCTCTCTCTCTCTCTTTATATCCTGTCATTTGCAAAGGTCTTTGTTTGGGGGGAGGGGAGGCCTCTGTGGGTTCGGTTTTACACCCGCTGTTGACTGCTTTGCCGGGTTTCCTTTCCTCCACCCCACTACACTCCCAGCAGCCAGATCCCTCCAGAGAGATTCAAATGCTGAGACCTAAAACAAGGAGAAAGCCTGGCTCAATTGCAAAAAAGATAGACTCTAAGAGAGAGAGATGGATTATGGAAAGCACATTGGGGGGGGTAGATTTATCCATATCTTACCCCAGCTATCCCCTTGGCAGCGTGAAGTCCACCAGGGACCAGGTCACGGGTGCCCAAAGCAGCTGATACTTCCCAGTCACAGGGAAGCTAGGACAGCCCAAAGCTGCTGTGGTGCTGGGCCAGCAGAAGGGATGGCCATGTAACATGCTCCATCAGCACCTCCCATCAGTGGAGCTCTCATGAGACCCCAGGCACAGCTAAAAGCTGGCCACTGACGGTTGGCAGGAGGCGCAAACAGTGTGGGTGGGGGGGGGGGTGGCCACACATGTGCCCTGCCCAAAGGGACATGAAGGACCTTCTGTGCCCTGTATTTCTAGGCCCCTCCACCACCCTCACTCAAATCCTGACAGTTTCCCCTGACATTTTCAGTGCTCTTCGGATCACTGATAAAACACGTCCAAGCTCACGCTCCTCCCAACCCAATTCTCTGCCTGTATTTACTGGAACACTCCCCACAGAAATCTGGCACTGAAGCCAAACATCCCAGACTCCAAAAGCCAGCCTCTCTCTGTGGATGTCTAGTGGGCTCCACGCACTGTGGAGTGGTTAAGTTAACAGTGACCTGCATGCTGGATACCCAGCTAGTGTACAGATGAATGTGAGAAGACAGGAATTGCCACACCTGACCAGATCCGTGGTCCATCCAATCACGTTTCCTGTCTCCTGCAGGAGCCAGCAAAAGCTGCTTCAGAAGGTGCAAGAAACCCTGCAGTAGCAGGGAGGGGATAATCTGTCCCGGGGACAGGTTCCCCCTGGCCCCTAGTAGTTAGCTGTTAGTTGAAGCACTGGTACCGAAGACTGAACACTGCCGACACTCCTGTTTTATCACCACCCTTCAGTATTTACCATTATAATTCTGGACAGACTTGTAATCCATGGAAACGTCCCATTACCTTTTGAATCCTCCTCAGCCTTTGTCCTCGGTAGGGGACGGATCTGCCTTGATCTATCAGTGCAACTCTCCTTTGCCTCCAAAGGAGCTGAGTTCCTAGACCTCCCCCTCTACACAGCCCTTCAGCTCTGTACAGAGACACAGGGAAAGGGCATTTACACCGAGTAGCTGCTTTGCATATTTCCACCCGAGTGACATTCCCCTGCACGTGGGAGCTGTTATAAATGTTACCGTTAAACACTCGGCGCTTCTGAGCTCCGTATCTGTCACGCTAGAATTCACAAGATGATCTGGCAGACTCAGCTACTCTGGCTCCTGGTGCTCTGGGTTCAGGGTAAGAACAAACCGTGATTTAAAAATCATTGCAGTTAGCATACAAGACCAATACTATTCTCAGTGCACACAGGCCTGGAATGTAATTCAGAGGGTTAAACAATAATACAGACTAGATTCAGCTTTGATTTGTTACACCTGATTTCATTTGACGGATGTTATATTTTTTTTTCTATTGTCCCCCTCCAATCAGGCTCCAGTGGGCAGATTGTGATGACTCAGACTCCAGAATCCCTGGCAGTGTCTCCTGGTGACAGAGTCACTATCAACTGCAAAGCCAGTTCCAGTGCTGACGGATGGGTGGCCTGGTACCAAAAGAAAACAGGACAAGCTCCTAAGCGCCTTATCTATGATGCTTCCAGCCGTGTCTCTGGGATCCCAGACCGGTTCAGTGGCAGTGGGTCAGGCACTGACTTCACATTCACAATCAGCAGAGTTGAAGCAGAAGATGCTGGAGATTATTATTGCCATCAGTACAACAGTGCCACTTTCACAGCGATACAGACCAGTACAAAAACCTCCCTGCTCTGTTCAGTTTCTATTGCTCACTGTCACAGCTGCTTCCTCCCTGTCCAGTGTGGTAGGGTTAGGGCTGTTGCTACCCTCTCCAGAAGCAACTAGGGGGTGTCAGGCCTTAGGCTCCCCAGACCCCAGGCCTCCTCTCTGATCCTTTCTGGAGTTCCCAGCACCCATCACTGTGGAGAATGGCATCCCCATGGGGCAGTCATTTCTTTATGCTACGCCGGTTCATTTCCCCCGCACCGGGTCCCTGCTCAGGGACAGCTGGTCAGAACATTTTAGTTCAAATGACACTTCAGTGAAAAGGCAAAAACTGTTGAATGAGAAAAGTGGGTGAATTCTTCCCCATTTTTTGACCTGACCTCTCCTGGGTCACTTTTCACCCCAACTACTACCACGTTCTTCTACTCGGGCTCGCTGTATCACATCCCTCCCATTCTCCAAAGAGCAGTAGACAAAGCCATCTTCCTCCTGCTGCTCCAACCTTCTCTCCCCCGTCCCTTGAATCCTTTCGCCGGCCTCCATCCCTGGTCCACATTAAGATTAAGCTCTTCCTACCTTCCACAGTACCACCCCCTATCTCTCTGCTCTCATCTGGCCCCATCAATCCTCTCTGCTATGTGCTCTCCTCAGGTCCCCTCTCTGCTTTGCACTTGCCATGCTGTGCTGTATGTTGTGAACAGCCTCTGCTCACAGTTGTCCCTCTCCATCTTCCAAGCCCTTTTTTTACGCTCACTTCGGTTCTTTTCCCTTTCAGCGCAGGGGCTAGAAGCCCAATGACTTTGTGACTGGCAAGAATTGGTGGGAATGGTTCAAGTACTTTAAAAGATCAGGAACCCCCCCACCCAGGGGAAGGAGGAGGGGGAGGGAGAAAATCATTTACTCCCTGTCTCCTATCAGTTCCGCCCATATGCACCAATGCCATCCAGGACCATCACTCACTTGCATCCAGCACTGGACATTAGGACCACCCACCAGCACCTAGGATCAGCACATGCCTGTCCTGAGAGCTGGGATGGGAGGAGTAAGGTGCGTGATGGGGAGACAAGTCTGCTGTGGCTCAAGCTAACAGCTTAGCATGCCGGCCCAGGAACCGGCCAGTCTGCCCAGTACCAAAGTTAAGCTCCTCTCCTAGCGCTGCTCGCTCCCAGCTCGCCACCAGTGCCATCTGCATAGTGTTGGGCTGAACTAGACTAATCTCTGTGACGGGTTGGATCACAGAAACCCCCTTGGGAGCTGCCACCAGATGTGCAAAGACTACCTCTGCTTCTGCTTTCCCT